GGGGGGGGGAGAGCCAGGAGACTGAAGAGGGGGCATGGCAGGGGGACTCCAGCTCCACTCTTGGCTCCCAGCTCTGGGGGACACAGCCAAGCCCCAGTGTGGACCCCACACACCCACCACCCCTAGCTGGGCCAGAGACTGAGGAGAGGGTTGTGGCTGGGGGGCTCCAGGGGGGGGCTGCGGGAGTACTCCAGGCCTGTTCCTGGCTCCCAGAGATAGAGCCAAGCCCCAGTGTGGGCTCCTCGCCCCTCAAGCTAGGCCAGAGACTAAGGAGGGGGACTTGGCTGGGGGAATTCTAGCCCTACTCCTGCTCCCAGGCATGGAGTCATGCTCCCCCCACCCCAGGCCAGGCTGCACCTGGCAGGGGGTCCAGTGCAGGGCTGAAGGGGTGGGTTCCCCCCGACACCCTCTCCTCAGACAGCCAGAGGCACGCTAGTGCTATGGCTAGGGAGTCGAGGGATGGGGCAGACTCTGCTCTGCTGGAGCAGACAGCTCAGCCCAGGGCCGAAAAGTCTCCTGGGATGCTGGGAGACAGAGTTAACTTGAACCAGCAAGGGATCTGAGACAGAAGTTCTATAAACCGGTTTGACCTAAATCAGTTAAGTCTGATACTACATCCATCCAGGTTAATCTTAAACCATTTCAGCTATTTAGAAAGCTGTTTAAGTGCACTGTACTTCGGTTCTGTTACAGGTTTAAACCTGTTTTTGATCACTTTAAAAGGTTTGTGTGTAACTTCTGTCCCTAGCCTGAGAGACAACCATAAGTAATGTGTATGTGGACAATTACTCAAAGAAGCCTACTCAAATCCAGTGTAGCATTACCCCAGAAAAAAAATCAAGGATAAAATCAGTACAAGTTCTACCTGTGTAAGGGTCATATACATCTGAAGCTCTCCCAGGTTAACAATTTGCTATTAGCAAGCAGACTATTACCTGTTCCCCACTGCCTTGTGGCAATAATAGTAATAATGCTGGTAATAGTGTCTACTGCAGATGACTATACCAGCATAGTTGCTCCTTTGCCAGTTCTGCACCTTCATGTAAATTTACATCAGTATACAAAACCTATTAAATTACACTGATGGAAGCATGTTGTGTCTGTCCAGGCCCATAATGAACTGAGCCCATTATAATGAAATTACCTATTGTAGTGTGATGCTGCAAATGGATTTTTTTTTCATTTAAGCATGACACTTCATTTAATTACATTCTTTGTTTACTGAATTTTTTTCAGTCCACACAGTAGAATTGTTCTTGATCCTACTAATGCTTATACAGAGGTTTAATCTTCAACATGTTCATAGTCCAAATAACTTCAAATGTAGCTTTAAAGTCAGTTATGTGAGGAAGTGTTTCAAGAACCTCTACCTATGAGACAAGTAAAATTACACCTGCAAGTATAAATTAAGATTTTTACTTTCAAAACATGCACGTACCTTGTACAATCCAATGCCAGGGTCAATAAGAAATGAGCGAGCAGAAGTAGATGGCTGATTGGGAGATCCACCACTTGTTGTTTTCTTGACTTTGTTTTTACAGTTGGAAACAGCACATGGATTGCCTTCTCCATCATTATTAGCCATAGAAGTGGTGGTGGGAGCATCAGACTCAGTACGTATCAAAAGCTGAACTATATCATTCAGTCCAACATTGTAATCAAACAAAGTATGTCCATCTTCCAGCTGTCAAAAAAAGAGTAAAATTTGTAGTACTCCATCTTATTTTTAAGTACGAAGATTCCTAAAATTTCCCTTCAAATACATTAATTCTAAACAATAAAAAGTTGTGGCAGTTTTGGGTTTTTTTTTTAAACTCTGCACAATTTATTTCAAGTAACTGTATGAAACCCATGGCTTCAATGAACTGAAGAGCAACCCTTATTGGTTGAAATCTGTGTGTCACTAAACCCAATGAGATTAACAACATAAAACTAAACAATTATCTTTGCAGAAACTGGGCTTTATCACGAAGTGGTATTTGAGACAGATGTTTCCTACTAGAATTACAAATATCATAACTATGTGGTAAGCATGGGTAAAATGAGATTTTGCCAGCAGTTACAGTACTATTTACAACAGGACTAACTTTTGAGTGGCCTGTGGCCACAGGTCCCATGGGCCCACCACAATGCACTATGCAACGTGTCCCCTGCCCATGCCTCTGCTCCATGCACGTCACACCACATGCCCCCCCATACCATGCCAGCACCCCTGTGCCATGCAGGATCCTTAGGCCCCAAAGCCACCAGGCCACAGACTCCCACAGCCCTGCTGGCGTAGCACCTGACCCTGAATCGCCCCTAGAGGCAATGACAAAGTGGAAATTGGAGGAGGAAGGGGGAAGCTGAAGACTCCAGCAGCAGCAACTAAAGGAGTAGGAGCAGTGGTGCCTGGACTAGGAGCCTGGGGAATCACAGGACAACTCCTTAAACTACATGTGGCCACCAGTTGGATAGCCCTGGCATATATTATTAAAATAGTTTCACAATTTAGTCTTTCCCAATCTTCTCAAAGAAGCATGACAAAGTTTGACATTTCTCTCTTTTCACTGTCATATAATTTCATAAAAAAAATATCCAGATAAAAATACCTACAAAAACAAACACATTAAAAGTATTCTGTTTATCTTTTGGCACAAAACATGTAATGTGACAGAGATTATGCTTATAAAAGGAATGCAGTGGGGGGTAAAGGGTCTGCTCAGTCTTCAGATTAAAAAAAAGAGTCTTCCAAACTGAGAGCACCTACTAATTGGATTCAGGAAAGAAGCTTGTTACCCCAGGTTTATCCAAGACCACAAGGCTTAAATGGTTTAACTCAAGAGGTATGCCACAGTAACCTGCCGGCTCAGATGCATGTATTTGATGGTATTGCGCATCCCTTTAAACCTTCTACATTCCAGAAACTATCTGTCCTTGCAAAGTAAAACCATATATACCCAGGCTAGATCACTATGTTTAGTTGAGTATCAAGATCTATCATGGAGCAGCCCTGACATGCCACACTTTCAACTTAAAGCATGATGTAAAGGAGCTACAAAGATGTTACACGTTGTATGTGGAATATCTTTGTTGCTCATTTGCTATATGATCATGCGATTAATTGGCTTTAACACATGGCTGGGTTACTGCTTATGGAGTGATTAACATCTTAATCTCATTGTAATGTAATTTGTACAAGAAGCTTAAATTCAGCTTTCTTCAAACTTTTTTTTTTTTTTTTTTTTTTTTTTTACTACACACATTGTGACACTAAGGAAAGGCAGAGAACTTAATGAAAAAATGTGCAATGACAGTATTTCCAATATTGTTTTAATAGCCAAAGTTTATAAGAACTTTCATAAAAAAAGAGAACAAGACTGTTTTAACTGATTAAACTTTTTAAAAAACAAAAGATAACAACATTTGCATGGAAATTGTATCTCAATTTTCACACGAAAGATTTCCCTACTCCTAATCAGTAGATATGTGGTCTTACAACAGACAGGAAATATTCTAACAGACTAAAACATCATTTCTTCTTCTTTTTTTTTTTTTTTTAATTTAGCGTTAAACCTGAGAGTAACAAGCAGTCTAGTTATTATACAAGATGTAGCCCCCACTGCCCAAAACTATCTTGTCACTTTATTAAGCTAAACATATGATATTTATAAATATTTATGCCACTAAGATTTTCATTAGTTATCCCTAGAGAACAAGTAATAAACATTAAAAATTCTAAACTAAAATAAAAGGTCTAGGAATAATACGGCTTCATGATTAAAAAAGTAACCAGAGATATGAACTGATATCCATCTGTCATGGATCCACACTGTTCCTTTCAGTTAAATGACATTTCTAGGTGCTACCAATTTTATTTTGTACAATATTTCATTTTTTCCAACTTGAGACTGTCATGACCCAAAGGCATGATTTTGTGTGTGCTTCTGCACCAGAATTATACCCGCCAAGTTGCAGCTTCATTGCACGGGAGAGTTTCCTGTTGCAGAGGAAAACCCCGGTGCAGGGACGAGTTTCCCACCTTTTTTGCAGCTTCTTTTGCAGAGTGCATTGCTCATGTTGCAAGAGGAATGCACGGTGCAAAAGAGTTCCCGCCACTGGTATGTAAATTCGTTCCCCGCTATTGGCTAGTTTTAAATTATTCCCACGTGGCGGCTAACGATTGGCCTGTTAGCCATATAAAAGGCTTGAGCGGTTTCTGCCCAAGCCGAAGAGGACTCCACATCCATCTCGTGGGGACTCTGGATACACGGCAGGGTAATAGAAACCCTGTGTGAGATTCAGAGGAGTTTGGCCACCTGATCCACCGCCCACCTCTTCCCGTCTTCGAGCGCAAATTTTATAAGACGTACCTACGATTCTGATTTTGGTGGCTCGTTCACCCAGAGCATCCGGAGCTCTGTTCCGTGGAGCCCAGCAACCTCCACGAGACCGCCTGTGTTGTCTGTCTGTAACTGCAACTCAAGCAAGTTTTCCAGCCTACACCACTGCCATCTCGGTGTAAGTAAACAATCTTTTAAACTACCGCTAAGCGTTTGTGCCTAATTCAGCTCAACGGCCTTCCCTCTCCGACCCGGCGTGCCCAGGCTGCTGGCCACAGCCCGCGTGCAGCACGGAAAAGGGCTCGGGTCACTCCCGGCCCGCACAGAGACTTACTTTCCATCTGTACCCATCTCTTCTGGTTAGCTACCCTATTCTTGAATTAGAGGGTCAATTTTCATTAAGTGAGAAAAAAAGTGTACATTTAATGAACTTTTAAAGAAATAAGATATTCTACAAAATGGTATGGTGAGTAAAATCTAAAAGTAAAACAGAAAATTAAATACTGGACACTGGAAAGTAAATTAATCTTTATGGAAAATGGGCAATATGCTCTAGCATTTCTTATTTGTGTGTGCGCGCATGTATGAATTCTATAATTGCGACTATTTAGCTGTTGTAGGTCTTTCATTACCCAAAGTACACAAATAGTTTAGAAATTCCTTTGCAACTAGAAAGCTACCTGTTTTAATGCTAACAATAATTTTTCAAACATAATAATACTATCACTATTAAACAATACAATGTAATTGCTATATCTCTATGCTTCTAACATGATATAAGTGTAGCAAAACTATTTAACTTTAATCCCATTTCACTCCAGATAATGTTACAGTAACTTAGTTCAGCTGTATCATCTCAGGGATCCTAGTTTTCGGTTTAAAAATCACAAATTTCCTGATAAAACAGCAAATTCTCTGATTAAAACCCCCAAAATCCATTATTAAAATGAAATGCCACTATATATATTAACTCAACACAATGTTTTATTGATATATTTACAACTTTAAAGCAATTTGAAAGCTGACCAGTGCCTCAATCGCTATAGTAAAATAAATTCTAAGTACCTTTACATTTTGGTATTTGATTTTGGGTTTTTTTATCATGGAAAAATCAGAGCCCCTCCTGCCCCCTTCGCTCACCAGGATGCAGGTCCAGGCCCCTCACTACCAAGCCACAGCTCCCCCACCCAACCCCTCACCTGCCAGGAATACAGAGCAAAGGGGCACAGGTCTGCAGCTTCCTGTCCCCCGCAGCAACTCCCAAGCCTTAGTTGCCGCCCATGGGAAGTGGCAGCTGCTGAGGCAGAGCGGAGCATGGAGCCCGGCTCCTCCTCCCCCAACAGGCAGCATGGCTAGAGCAGAGCCCAGGAGGGGGGCAGGTATGGGCTGCCAACTGCAGGCTTGGGCTCCCTGCCCCGCTGCCCTCCCTCTGGGGCCTAGCACAGTAGGGCAGAGCGAGGCTGGGCAAAGAAGCTTGTTGCCGCTGCCAGGAGCCCCACACTGCCATAGCAAAGCACCCCTGCCTGCCTGGCAGCAAGAAGGGGCACAACTCCACACTACCACCCCTGCTGCTGCTGGTCACCTTGCCATGGAGGTGCGGGGCTTAAAGCAGCGATACCAAGCTTCCCTACCCCGTTCTGCCCTGACATGCCACACCAGGTCCTACCCACTGGGCTGTTGAGGTCCTGGGGGGAAGGCACTAGGGCAGGGAGCCCCAAGCCCACAGCAGGCAGCCTACCCCCACCCCACGCACAGATCTGGGGGGCATGTGTCTCCCCTGCCCCCTCCGTGAGTATGCGCAGGGAACCATGCCTCTGTACACATTTGCCCATAACCTAAACTAGGAAAGCAAAGATAGCCCATGTTAGATTCTTATCCTGTATCATCAGTACAAGAAATGACTAGGATCAAACACAATATGAAGAATTCTTCCTCCTCTTTACTGGGAAAGAAGCAAGGAAGTGTATTGCCTTTTCCACAACCTGTATTTTTATATTAAAAATTAGAAGTATTCTTCATTACAGAAAACTACAGAAGCTCTTTTCATTTACAAGATCTCAAAAACAGGGAAACGCATCAAAAACATATTTTTAGAGATGATTAAACATTGGAAAAGCTACCAGTTACTTGCCCTATAGCAAACGCCACACCAAAGTTTCACGTAAAGGTTCCTAGGCAATTTTACTTAAAAAAAATACACACACACTTTTAAAAATCTGAAATACTGTTAGCTTATTATGCCTTTTATTATTTAGGCAGTAAATATCTTAGACTGCATCTAGGGTTGCAGTTTCCAGTATTTCTTCCGAACTCTCCTGTCAGTTCCAGGACTGGCTCCATCAAGTTGCTGTGCTTTTACTGAACTATATGATAGAAGTGAATCTCTTAAGCCAACTCCATTGTGATAGATCAGTCCTGATTTCTGTTCACCATTAAGGAAATACTATTACAAATTGCACGGGAGTGCTATCTGATATATTTGCTTAGTTCTTCTGTTTTGTTTTTTTATTCTCTCAAATAATACACTCTCACAACAGTAAGGAATGTCAGTCAAAACATGAACGCCATTCTTTGGTACAGTTCCAAAAACAGGGTTATCCTACTTCCTGAAGGCTTTATTAGCATTTTGAAACAAAGGAAATGGGGGAAAGCAGGATAGCAAGTCATGCCTCACTGTGACTGGCTCAGCAAAAAATCTAAATTATTAGATACATGTTGGCTCCTGTAATTCGTATATTTAGACATTTAAAAAAGAAAACTTAAGTAATAAGGCTGTAGATAGACTTCATTTAGGTGAATTATTTCAATTTTTTTTTTTAAAGAAAAAGAAAGCACAATATTAGTTTGTTAGATATGTATTGGAAGATTAGAATTCAATGCAGTTGTTTAGATTCAGCCTTCATATTTCCAGCACCCCTGGCTCATGTGAAGGATTCAGCTTCAGAATGGATGAATCCAACTTCCCAACTTGATGTATCTACTTCTCCATTCTTTGGCATAAATAATTATTTCTAGCACTTTGTAATTAGATTACATTTCATTCTGTGTGTTCATTAGCCAATTACAAGAATTACAGAAAATATTTGCCAATGATTAGGAAGTTTTCCTGACATGAGCTAAATCTGTTTGCTGCAGTTTTCCCGAGATGCAGCACCTTACATTCATTCTCACTGAATTTTATTTTATTGTCTATAGACTAGTTTTTCTCCCTCTTCTTTACGGCAGCCTTTCAAAAATTGGAAAACTGGCATCACTGACTTTCTTCTAGGCAAAACTTAAATGGTTCCTTCAAGTTTTCCCCACAGCTTGCATTCCAAGCCATTTATTGTCTTTGTTGTTCAACTCTGGATCCTTTCTAAGCTGTTTATATCTTTCTTAAAGTGTGATGCCTAAAACTGGATGCAGTAACTCAGCTAAGGCCCAACCACCACTTACTAGAGTTGTATTATTACATCCCATGTCTTGCATCCAATGGTTCTTTTAATGCAACCAAACTTGCATTCTCTTTTCTTACAGAAACCGATAACTTTTGTTGGGTTTGTTGTTATCCACCATAACCCCAAGATCCACAGTAGTGCTACTGCCAAGCCAGTTATGCCCTTGTGTGAGACACCTTAATTTACTTTTTTAATCTTTGTTGAATTTCATTTTTTCCTATATCTGCTGTCTTCAATTTTTCAAGTTCCTTTTGGATTTTGGTCCTATCCTCTAAATTATTTGCAAACACACACACTTTTGTAGCAATGCCAATGCCTTATACCAACTATATCTTCACCTGGCCAGAACAGAGAAACACTGACTGTTTGCTTATAAAGAACTTGTGGAATCTGCCACAAAAGCAATTTAACCTTATATTATCTGTTATGTTCAGAGTCCCCTAGACTCCCACAAAAATAAATATCAAGTTAGAGAGATAAAGAAGCTTATTTCTTATACACAAAAGGAGAGTTACTTACCCATAGGTTAGCTAGAATTTTTCTTGAGATGTGGTGTCCTATGTGCATTTCACTACGCCTATGCCATGCTTTAAATATAGTGGTAGGTTCTTCATATCTTATTTATTTAGCTGCTAGAAGATGGTATCCCCCAAGATGATTCCACCAAGTGTAAATAGATGTTCCAGTTATCCCTGTGGCAACCTTGCAGATATTTATTACCAAGACGTTTAAGAGAAGCTACCATGGTCACCTAAGCCTTGGTGAAGGGAGCTCCATTATTAATTAAAACTAATCTACTCAATCATAATGCAGACTAATGCACTCCAAAATCAACTTTGACAGGTAAGCAGTGATTAGACCATCTTTCATAGTCTCTTGAGCAAAATTAAGTCATGGGGACAATCTATATAGCTTCAATGTGTCTAGGAAATGGAGTTTGTCTCACCCAGTTCACAATCAGAATTTATGCCCAGTGTGAGGTTTAATATTAAAAAAAAGGATAAATGATCTGATTTATGTAGAACTAAACACTTAAGTCACTTCTTGATCTGGTATTGTGAGATCTTTCCTCTTTTGAAGCTTCTATTACAGCTACTCTGATCTCCCAGCCAGAGCTGAACCCCCATAACTTATTCCTCATGTTAGTTAAAGCTGTCCCTGGGTGTCATTTCAGTCCCTGTGGCAGAGAATTAACTTCTCTCCACTCACCCAGCAGTCCTCAAGTTTTTCAAGGTGCTGAGAGTCTTCTCTCTGATAAAGAGATCTCATTCCTCAGCGTTCACACGTCTGACAGTCACCACTTCAGTCTATAGCAGGGTTAGACAAAATACAGCCCGTGGACCTTTATCCAGCCCGCGGCGGGTGCCTCGGTCCCCTGGCTCAGGAAGAGTCTAGCTGTGGCACGTCCTGCCTCCCCCTGGGCACACAGCAGGGCTGGGGCATCTCCACAGGGCTTCTAGGCAGCCCAGGCGGCAGGTGGCTCCAGCCCTGCAGTACCAGCAGGAACTCGTGCACACAGCCCTGACCCCACATCCACCATACCTGCTACAGGCTCACCAGCCCAGGCTCAGCAGCCACGGTGCTAGACAAAAGCTGTTGCTCAGTGTAGGGGGGGGAAAGTGGCCCCTCCCGCTGCCAACAGTTCCCTCTGCAGCTGCCTGGAGCAGATGCGGGGCTGCCCTGTCTGCTTTGTGCCTATGTCACTGCCACCTCCAGGCTGCCCCGGGGCAGCGTTGGTACTGCAGAGCAGATGCAGGGCAGCCTGGCAGCAGGGAACTGCTGGCAGTGGGAGAGGGAGGGGCTGCTTCCCCCCCTCACTGAGCAACAGCTTTTGTCTTGCACCACGGCTGCTGAGCCTGGGTGGGCACGGGGCGCATGGGGTCAGGGCTACATCTGCAGGTCCCCGCAGGTACCATGGGGCTGGGGTCGGCAGTGGCAAGAGCTGGAAGGAGCCGCCTGCCACCTGGGCTGCCTAGAAAAGCAGTCCAGCTGCAGAACCACCCCAGCCCCGCTGCATGCCCGGGGCAGCAAGACATGCCACGGGCAGGTAGTGTGGAGCATGAGTAGGATAGGCTGGGGCGGGGCTGTGCAGGGGTTCTGGATGATCCACTGCAGCAGGGGTGAGTCTGGAATGGGTGCAGTGAATGCTGGGGCTGTGCGTTGCTGGTGGTAGCAGGGAGGCGCCACAGCGAGTACGGGCTCCAGGATGTTGCAGGGCAGGGGCTGACCAGCTCAGAGGTGTGTGCGCAGGGGATCCCATGCACACCCCACCATACCCACAAACCCTCCCCCACAAACCTCACAATCACATCCTCCCCAACATGCCCCACACCCTCCTCCACATCCCCCCCATACAAATGCCAATGCACCTCTGGGAGAAGCCCCACTCACTGCTATGTGTACACACCCCATCTGACATGCACAGACACATGCACCAACACCCCCCCCCCACACACACACACACAGCCACCCTCCCTCTCCACACAACCCACAAACTGCATACCCACCCACACATCCCCACAAACACTCCCCATACAAACCCCCCATACCCACACACACCCCCCACAGCCTCCCCCACACCCTACATCCACACGCATACCCACACAAACCCCATACCCACCTCTCCATACCCCCTCTCTATACTTTTGCATATTGTAGGGGAGTAAGATCTCATTTTGGGATATTATGCAATCGTCTCTTTATATACACCACACAAACACACAAATCAGGGCAAAAATACTTTAAAAAAGAAAATTAATGTGCTTTTGTCAATGTTCGATTTTTAGTATATAATTTGTTTTTCCCCCGGTTCCAAGATGGCGAATCCCCTTCCCAAAAGGAGTACTTCTGGGGGCAAGGGGAGGGACTTCCAATCGCAAGGGTCAGGGATTAGGACTTCCAGTCTCAAGATGGCGACGAGGGGGCAGGACACTTGTCAAGGGGCAGGGCTAAACTTACGGCCCTCGACAGCTCACCAAAACTTAAGTGGTTCTCCACCCAAAATAACTGCCCAACCATGGTCTATAGCAATTGGATCCCTACCCCTGCCTGAAGACAAAAAAAAGAAGGGGCTAGTACTTTATTAGAGTGAGATTCAAGAATTGATTACAGATCCCTGACACCAATCCCCCCCACCACACACACACACACACACACACACCTGTCTATAAAGTTAAAAAAATACACTTGTGGACTTTCTAAACTCCCGATCAAGGATGTTGTCAAATTCTGTCACCCAACAGACTGGCCCAAATGGTGTTTATGTGGGTCCCAGAGCCTTACTCTTACAGTAAGAGCAGAAACAACAACTTGACATGAACATTAATAGTTAGAGTTCATTCTACCACAGACCAGACAACTTCAGTGACTCTGCTAAGAAATCTCTCAACCTGTCATTTGCAGAGCAGCTGTCTGGAGCTCAGTTACCAAGAACTCCACCAACACAGAAGCCTCTCTTCTAAATGGCAGACAGATTTGGGTGAATCTGATATCTTTTATTAGACCTACTTAAATAGTTGGAGAACAATTTTTAAGCAAGCTTTCGGGTTCAAAACCCCTCCGTCAGGCTAAGGAAGTTTCAGCAGTTGATGTGTGCTCTTCCTAGATGGAATAAAAAGTAAAAAAGCTAGAGGCTGGGCTGGTATGCATACCAGCACCCCTACAACCTACACCCCTCTCTTCTAAATGGGCATTATTTTGGAGTCATTCATAGTGAGATTGTGCATATGGAAAAACAACCACTTGAAGGAAAGAACATTACTCACAACTAAGTCAGTTCGTAGGGTTATCAATGGCCCAGTGGACAATATTTGAGATTCTGCCCTCTGTTCCCTCCTTCTTGAAGTCTGTTTTACTCTGAAACTCGCGGGATAAGGGGAAACGGAAGAGGGGTGTGGGCATATAGGTGCACTCTACAGGTGCTGCTAAGACCAAAACTCTTGAGTTTCAAGCTCACCTACACTGAGCTTGCACCCATAAGGACAGCACATCATGAAGAATTCTGGTTACTGGTACTGGTTTTTTTGGTCTGTTTATCTACGTACAATCTACTGTTAACAAGCATTGTGTCAAAGACTGGCCACTTGACTAGCAGAGTCACCTGTGAGTCTTTAGTACAAATTCACTAGACACATGAAGAGTGAACTCAACTGGCAGGGTTCTCCTTTGCTTTCCAATAAAATGCCACATAACCTAACTACGTGAAAGCTAGATAATCTCCTTGTACGTATTAACTTACCCCTACTTAGTGTTAAGATTTTAACCCACATTTAGAAATGTTTTTTTCTACTGGTTATATTTTGCCTCGTACCCAGACTTGGCTATTTAAATCTGCGGAGTCCTTCTTGTAAGCATGCAATGAACTAGAATTGACAGACATAAAAGATATCTATTTTTAGCTCTTTGGGACACGTTCAACATCAAGTAAATCTGTATTAGGGCTTCAATGATTATTGTTTCAGGGTACATTTCCACAGCTAACTACCCAGAGAATCCCTGCGTGTACCTTGGTTGTCAAGACGCCATTAGTTTTTTTGTCTGCTAAGAACCAAGTTCCTACGAGCCTCTGGTCTCTGGGTGCAATTCATTCCTTCTACAAAAAGCTATATCCATTTAACTATTGGTCCAGAACCACCCCCCAGCTCAAACAAAAGAAGAAGTACCCTCTTGCCATATTCTTGAGAATATTCTATTAGGAATCAAGTTTCTGCTCTTGAATGCCGTATGTCATCACAAAAGCATCAAGGCTGGATGCCATTTCTATTTAGAGTGTGTTTGCACCACTTTAAGTCACTGCTTAAAGTGACTTAGTCAAGAGTAAGCTACTGAAAAAAGCATTAATGTTGGTGCTTGAATGATTCACTTTCCAAGTAGCTCCAAATGGCCTCTATCACTAAAAGCCTGATTTCCTCAATCATTTCAGAACAATTGGCTAGTGCGTGTCCTTCCCCCAAACCCTATTACATAGAGAGGCCAGTGAAGGAAGTTACTGGTTCCCAATACTAACAACATAGTATGGAGTTGTTACCACTAAAAAAACCCAGGTGTCTAAAGTTCAGTCCGTGACAGATCTGGTCCATTTAATGCATTTGTCAGGGACACATTATACTGAGTAGAAATATATTTTTATTTAAAAGAATATAGCACTTTTGGACCTTCCTGTCACAGGGAGAAGCTAAGTGTATTGAGCCAATGTCCCCACTTAAAATTCTCTGGGGAAGTTACAAATGCTGGGGATTAAAATTCTGGAGAAAATAAGGCAGTTAGCCTGCTAATTGTGTCTCATTTTGAACTGAAGACTATGAGGGGAGCTTCTTCCAAAGTATAACTGGTTTAGAATTCTACAGCTGCTATGCGTGTCAGAATGAAAGTACCAGAACTACCAGTCTTTCATTCTCCTTGTGGCTAACATACCCATAAAAGCTTGTTGGAACTATACTGACCTCATTAAAGAAGAGGATCTTCTAAGAGAGGGGTGAAGTAGTCCTTAGAAAGGGGACTACAAATGACTGCTGCTTTAAATTGCTTTTTGACTGAACTTATGGTATTGTGAGTATAAACGTTCTTTAAATCAGGGGTGGCCAACCTGCAGCACAAATGCTACAAGTGGCACAGGCAGCCTGTCTGTGGCACAGACTGGGGAGGGGACAGGCAGAACAGCAGCAGGTAGTACAGGAAGCAGAAAGCAAACAAAGCAGATCATCAGGCAAGGAACACAGGAAAGGAAACAGAAAACAGAACAGATTGTGCACGGAAAGGGGATTGGAGTGGCACCTGAAGGATGTGGAGCTAATTTGTGGCATGCCTGCCAAAAACACTGGCCCCCCCTGCTCTAGATGGGGCAGTTCTAGAAGAAGAAAGAACTGAAACTATGCAGCAAAGTGTAGCATTTTAGAAACTTTAAGTACCACCCACCTAAATGGACAGCTTTCAGTGAATCAAGATAAATACTATTAAAGAGGTACTTGTGTATAAGTAGCAACCTGCTAGCTTTAAGAACAAAAGTTAATTTTCATAAAACTTAAATTACATTTTTCACACTGATTTTTCCTTAAAAAAAAATTGAGAAAATTCCTTTTAACAAGATTATATTCATTTTACTGCATCTTATGGAATGGTTTAGTTTTAGTGTAAGGGAATTATTTAGTCATGTTATACTCAACAGATTTCTTTCAAAGTAAGTTTAATGCCATCTCTTGAGTAAGCAAGCTCCATGCTAATTTGTGCTGAACTTTAGTTGAATTCTGGCAGTGTAATTAGGTAGTTAAATGAGCACAGATCAGTGTATTTCTTCCTTGGAATGCCTATAATATGCATCCTTAAATAGTTAGTTACACTTTCGGATGGGTTAAAGCAGTGGCATCCAACACAGCCCAGATGAATGGGCTAAAGCTGGTCCACAAGATGAGTTGCACAGTGTCATTTCAGAAGCCAGATCCAGTGCAGGCCATCCCAGCTCCCCAGGGGTCCAGAAATTAGATGGCATTAACTGCTGCAGGTTCAGAAACCAAAGTAATTAATGCTACCATTTCTTGTCCTGCCACATCAGCTGGAGAGCCATCTAGAAGGGGTGGGGTTTTGGAAGCACACAA